TATATATATATATATATATAAACCCAGTCCGGCCTGGCCCCTTAGGCCCGGAACCGTTTCGGTTCAATTTTCGACCGAATGAACCAGATCTCGTTAAGTCCGGTTTGTAAAACTCGGTATCCGACCCGGATTGGTGGCCGGCCGGTCACTAAATTTTTCGACCCAAACCGGCCCGGCCCACCCGTTTGTCACCTATAGTCTCTACTCTTGAACTAAGCCAACTAGTGATGTCATTTTGTGTCTTTTCATGAGATGAGGGTGTGTTTTAGATCAGCTATCCTCCTCATTTTGTGTACTGGGATCTGGGGTATAGTTAAGTTCCAGCATCACCAGCAAATCATATGAACACAAAATGTGCTTTACAAGAGTAACCATAAAGCTAATGAAAGCAAATCCTTAGCTAAGCATTCTGCATACAACCATTCAGTTTCTATAAACTAGTCTTAGGTTTACGCGTGTTTCTCATGTCAATAAGAAAATAACTTTTAAAAAATCACATTAAATAATGTCTTTGAGTTATAACAAAAATAAATTTAAAATTCATGTGTATGTATGTATCCCAAATCCAGCCAAATGAAAGTTCTCAAAATTTTGTAAGAATATCTAATGAAAATTATTATTATATTTATGCGTTAATACATCACGATGAGGCTGACATGTAGCTCCTACGAAAAAATTAATAAGTGAAAATATAAACTTTAAAAATGATTTTTCACTTTAAAAATGACTAATGTTGAGTCAATAATTTATAATAATAAATTAATATATAAAAATTGTAGGGAGCTGTAATTTGTTAGAATATTTGTAAAAATAAAAAAAGATAATTAACAATAACTCAATCAGAATATATTTTATCTTCTACTGCTTCATCCTTATTGTTTCAAGTTTGCATACATTAATAGAAAAATAATTATTGTCTTTATGTTGCTTATAATTATTGAGTACATTCAACACATGTAGAAGAAATGATGTTTGCAAGTCGAAATAATTATTGAGTGTAGTTTCAAATATTATTAGAAAAAAATTTATAAATAAAATTTAGTCAATTTTAAAGTTCAAAATATTAAAAAAAATTAACATAAAAGGTATTATAGTTATGGTACACACTTCAAATAATAAATAATTTATTTTAGGTAGAATCTTAATTGATTTAAGGTTTTAAACATTAGGATTTCATGCATAATTCAAATAAAGAGTTATTTAATAACTAAAATTTTAGTTGATTTAAAAGTTTTAAATATTAAATAATAATTAAATTATAATTTTGCGCAATGATTAAGTTAAGAGTATTTTACCTTGAGTGAGCTGTATATTGATATATTTTCATTATTTTTCCATATAGTTGTCCCTTTTATTTTAAAACTTGGGTTTTATATTTTTCATAATACTCATGATTTTAAAATGGTTAGAATGGGTTAATACTGTATGTAGTCAAAAACATGAACTACACTTAATTACATAAGTATATTTTCAAGTAAATAATTATATATTAATGTATATATAATAGTTTAAATACTTTATTTGTAAAAAAGTATACCACATATGAATGGAGCTTTAAAAATGCTTTATTAAATATACATTGCTAATTTCTATGTACGTAGATGATAAGAAAAAAAATTATAAACTAATTATTTTAGTTGTATAAGGTAAACTTAATTGATTTTGATGTTCTAAATATTAGGATTTTTTGGTGTAGTCATTCAAATAAGAAAAACATTAATAACTAAAGTTTTAGTTGACTTCAAAGTACCAAATATTAAGGAAATGGCTAAATGACTATTTTGTCTAGTGTGAACTCTATTTGAAAAGGGCAAAAAAGATGAACAACATTTTGCTAAGTATCTTTGTGATTTTAATATAGTACTAGTTTTAGTGTATGCGCGTTGCGTGTATCCGTATCAGAAGAATTATTATTTTTCAATAAAATCGCATTAAAGTTATATTAAAGAATATGCTTGAGCTATAAAATAAAGTGTAAAATATGTAGATGCAGATAAATAGATTACGAATTTTTAACTGGCGATTTTATTCACTTTGATATAAATAAGTATAGATATAAAATAATAGTGTAAGATATATAACTCGTCCCATATTTGAAATATTAATTTTAATTATACTTTTATCAAATGCAAAATTTTATTTCTAAATAAAAATTAAAAAATAAGAATCAATTACTTTTTTATTTTGGATCTTTGTGCTTGTTGAACCGTTAGTGTTATTTAACTTTTGCGGACCAATTTTCGCTCAGTCTCTTTCTCATTTATATTTTCAAATATTTTTCTTTGTTATTCTAATTGTTGAGCTTAGTAATAAAATATTTTATAAATTAGCAATCCAATATTTTATAATGCAATTGTTGAGCTTAGTGTGTATATATATATATATATATATATATAAATCACATATTTACTACAAAGGTAACACAAATTTAAAAGAAGATCATCTAAAATTAACCAAAATGTGAACAAATTATTGTTCGATCCCAACAAGCGTATTCTAACCCGAATAACAGAACATATTAGAGGAATTGTAATTTAGTACATTGCATTACAAACTTCCTACCTATTCAGTGTTTTGTGATTTATAAACACGTCCTTTTCAATAATTAAAAGTTTAGTTGATGTTAAAGTTTAAAACATTACAAAAATATAGTTGTGTTAAATAGTTCAAATAAGGAAGAATTTACATAAGGAAAAATATTAATCGATTTTAAAGTACTAAATATTAGGACTTCCTACACAGTTCAAATAAGACAAAATTTAATAGTCATAATTATAGTTGATTTCAAACTCCTAAATTGTAGGAAAAATAATTAAACGACATATTTGTTCAGTATGAAATCTGTTTTCAAAGGATAAAAAAAGGCGAACGACATTTCGTTAAGGAACTTCGTGCTTTTAATATAGTATATATATATATATATATATATATATATATAAATATATATATATATAAATCAAGGATTCTGCATAAGGAATAAAGTCAAGCTTAAGCTTTCTGCATAGAATATATCAAAACAAAAGAGAAAAGTCCACGCCTTTCGTGCATTAGATATCAATGAGCACTGTAACAACACATTTCCTTCCAAACCAGCCACCCATAAGAAAAGAATCATTAATCCCACAGTACAATCAAAGAAGAGTAGACTACAACTAAGTCGCATTCCTTCTGCTAAGCATGTCAATCAAACATGATGGACACAATTATTTGTGAGCTACAGCTGAGGGATTTTTGGAAAAGGAAAGAAAAGTAGACTACAAAAATGCATAGCCTAATGAAGCATAATTTAGTTTTCAAATACTTTTGGATTAACTCAGTATCAAACCAAATGTCTTGCTCATTATTATTCCATAACAACCTTTGCTCCAACAGCGTTCATCTTCTCAATGATTTGTTCTCCTTCTTCTTTTGATACCCCCTTCTTAAAAATAGCAGGAGTCTTTTCGACTAACTCCTTTGCTTCCTTGAGTCCCAACTCAGTACAACTGCGGACCTCTTTGATTATCTTTATCTTTTGAGCAGCATCAAATGATTCCAGTTTAAGTTCAAAAACAGTTTTCTCTGGTTTCTTTTCTTCCTTGGCTGCTTCCGGTCCCTTCATAGCTGCTGCTGCCAATCCAGCAGCTCCTGCCTTCATAACACCGACCATTGGTTGCTCAGTCATGCCCAACCTCTTCATAATAATGGACGACAGTTCTGCAACTTCAACCAATGTAAGTCCCGAAACATCATCTACAAGCTTCCATACCCTCTCGGATGGAGGACTACGATGCTCGGTAGGATCAAAAGTTGCAGGATCATAATCAGCCGGAAGCTTTCTCTGGTCAATCTCTACTTCTTCCTCGTTTTCCTCCTCTTTCCTAGCAGGCTGAGAAAAGTGTCGAGTAAACACAGATGAGGTAATAAAACAGGAGTCAGCCACATTCAATCGAACCGATTGTCTCAAAAGTACACCAGGCAAACGATGCCTCAGACATGAAATCAAACTCATTTCTCAATTCTGCTATACAGGAAACTGAACTAGAAAGCAACCATCTATCTGATTCAAAAGAAAGGTCAATCAATAGCCTGCGAAGACCAAAATGCAAAATTTAAAATCATATGCAAGTATATAACTATTCCAATTTCAGACCATATAGTGGCACTACTAAAGGATCAAAAAGAAAAAGTAACAAGTGTCGCACTGTGAATGAGAAACAAGTTAGTAACCGCATATATCATACACAGTTCAATACCTTATATAGACATTACACTAAGAATGTAATTTCTTCTGAAAATCATGGCAGAAAGAGGCTTAATGAGCAATTTATTTTCAGGAGGGTCCAGAGAAATGTCAAGTTTTTTTTCTTGTTATGAAAGAGAAAAGGGGCAACTCTGCATAGTGCGCACACCTATGTACCATTCACAGTTTATATATCTACGCAACACTCAAATCTTTTTCTTTGATCATTATCATAAACAAACCAGTGAGGCTAGCATCTATAGTTATCACTTATCACAAGAAGATATAATTTCAAACACAAAGGTTCGGGGCAGGGAGTTAAGGGACCAACGGGAATATCCCATGGGATTAGCTATCCCACCTTCTATATGTTATAGCTAATCCCACCATTTTAATGTAACACTTATCCCGGGATTATCTAATACCTATTACCAAACATGGGATAAATACAATCCCAAACTCTATTCCGGGACTATTATCCTTATCCCTTGTACCAAACAACCACTAACAGAGTGGTGACTAAATTGACCCAAAATAAAAATAAAGACCACCTAACAAAACATTCGTTTCATCACACCTCATCACTAAAGTATCACTTGCTACAAGACAGTAGTCAAAATTATCTCCGCTATTCCCGACTCTGAGTGCTGGCGTCAGACCAAAACATCCTTAATAAACAAAGCTATGAATAATTTACTGAAACAATGTGGCATAACTTGTTGCCCGAGAAACCAAATTACAAGAAACACAGCATATCAAGCTCCACAATGGAGCAGGGATCTGCCATGTCAAACTCTTCAAGGACTTGGAATACACAACCCAAAACACTAATTCAATTTACTTATAAGATAATGTTAGCAGGCCTTGCCTGAAGAATCACATGCTTATCAAAGTTTTTTTTGTAGTAGACTGGGGATCCCAGGTGATACAAAAGGAATTCTAGGCACTTCCATAATTCCATCGACTAGACCATGTAATTAACACAAACCCTAAGTTCACACCACATAATACAGAGCAGAAAGATGGCGACAGTTTTCTGCACCAACATCTTTTGTGTCATCTAAGTGAACTATATCACCCACTTCCAATGTCTTTATAGGTTTTGGATGATCCTTACTATGCCCAACAGTATTCAGTAACCAGACATGAGAATAGTCTGAACAACCTCAAATTCAGATGACGAGAATTTGCACTGATTGCTGCTGAGTTATCTTCTTCATTATGCAACATGGATGAAATTTCTTTCCTGGAACACAAAATCTAAGTCACTCTTCCGTATAACCAGACATTGCAACCTCCATCCGCATTAGTTCTCTAAATTTACTGAGTGATAAAGGATTCAAAGATGCAGGTTTTGTCTTTAGGATTTCATTATAGCATAAGCAATTGCAACATCCTCCGCCACATCACATGGAGAAAGAACATCACTTCATGTTGAAGGAATAGATACAATAAACTTGCTTTTTTATCTTCTGAGACAGTCTTCTCCGTATGCAATTGCCTTTTTTGCAACAAACTAGTCACCTTGTCCCCTAGTGATGGATCTCCTCAAATGCTGGTAATGTAGGACAAAGGCACTTCCACATTTAAATTGATAGAACAGGATAAACAAACGATTTGCCAACAGGATATGTTACTTTTTTTTATAACCGTGGTGTCCATGCCACAGGATATGTTACTTTTTATTTTTATAACCGTGGTGTCCAAGCCACAGGATATGTTACTTTAACTGGTTCAACTTCAAACTTCTTTTCACAGTGCACTGAAAACATAGCTACCATCGTGTTCAAAACAATGTTGGCCTTCAGTAAAATCTGTGCCTGTATACTCTATGAAACATTCCTTGTTTGTGGTGTGATGGCTGAATGTGCACCATTAATGATGGGGGCAAACCGATAGTTTAGGTGTGCACTAATAAACGGAGCCAAGTTCAGAGGGGTCCTATATATTATGCCAATATTAACATGTCACTGGCAGCAATTCCATTGCATGGTCTGAGAAACAGTCAAGTGCACATTCATGAACTAAAATCAGTGGGTGCATAAGCATAAGTGTGTAAAGTACCACTGAGCTCCGACTCGTTCGCCATGAGTATAAACTATATTCTTTCTTAAATTTTTGAACTTTCTACATAGAAGATAGTAGTAGAAAGCAACGGATTGGAGGCGCTCTCATGAAAATTGCAAGGTGTTTACCGAAAGAGAAGCCGGACCAATGCATCTACCTTTGAAAGAGGTTATAGGAGGTGCTAGAGCAAGAGCACCAGCTCGTCTCATTAGGGCAACAGCTACAAGAACAGGTAACTACTGCTGCTAAGCAGTTTTCACAGAAACAATTCGTTCCGCCTACATTTCTTTGCAAAACTGATACCTTAAATCAATTGCTAGATCTAGAATCACTATATCAAATGAAACACAAGTGCTAACACTCTCGTATTTACTATATTCAGCCCAAAAAAAAAACAATCAAGAATCTAAAACTATTGGAAATGGATGAAAAAGCAATGAACTTTGGGCTGTGCATGAGAAGCAATAGAGACATACCTAAGCTCGAATTCGAAGAAGGAATCGACGGAGAAGAACACTTGTGCAAAGCAGAGAGGCAGAGAGTTGCCAGGCACAGTTGGGTTCAGAGAAAACCCTTGAAATGTTTCCCTAAACCTAAACCCAAACCCAAACCCAAACCCGGTTTTAGCCCTTTGTTCTGTGGAGAATTAGGGGCAAGGATGACATTTCATTTCTTAAAGAAATAAAAATGGGCATTTCAACGAATGAAACATGCCCTAAAAAATTCATTCGTATTTATAGGGCTCCAAAAAACAATGACAAAAATGCTCTTTAGAGGGTTCTGCGGCCATGTTTCAACTTCTGTAGTCCGTATTTTGCTGGGTTAATATTGCATGTGCATTCAATCGGAGGAGTTATGCGATCGCACTTCATCTTTTGCGAGCGCACTTCAACTTCTGCGGCCGCACTTTAATTTCTGCGGGCCGCATTTGAGGAGGCTTCAAACGTTTCATTGCTCATTCTCTAATCTTTCAAGCTTGTCAGTACGAACGTATTTTGCGGACCAAGTGTGACCGCACATTTTAATATGTGGATCGCACTTCTGCCAAAAGTCCTTGAAACTTTAGTTCTTCTTCTGCTGTCGCATTCCATCTTTAGCGGGTCGCACTTGCTTTTGCGGCCGCAGATGAAACTCTCGGACCCCACTTCTCTTAGCACTTATCCTCTTTGCTAAACTTGGCTAGAACATCTCCTTTTTTATTCATTTTTCTTCATTGAGCTTACATTCTTCAACACACATGCAATTCAACCATTTTCATTAGATTCAGAAGCAGAAATCAGTACTTTCGGACTAAAAATTATAGCAAGAAGGTACTAATAAATGATTAAAATTCACACTTATCAACTTCCCCAAACTTAAGTCTTTGATCGTCCTGAAGCAACTAAATTAGCACCCTCCTTCCCACATTGTATGATCATTTCAAGGACTCACTACAAGTTATTTATACTCAGTTAGGACCAACAATTACCCACGACGCTCATACTAAGGTGTCAATTTTTTTTAAAAGGTGCAACTTGCTCATCTCATGTAATTCTAGTGTGACATTTGAGCCTCATAAGTTAACTTCACTCATCAAGTTCTTGTTCTTTCATGTAAATCATGGTGGACTCCAAACTCTTCCTCTTCTACCTTCTGTTGGCATTACACTTCAAATTTCAACACTCAATTTCTAGTGCATCAAAGGTTTCACTTTTCTCTCACAAAGGAATGTCACAAGTTAAGCTTCAAGTACCATAGGTTCCCCTCTCATGTACATCTCCAATAATGTAAGCATACTCGGTTCAAAATCAAATAGGATTTCTTTCGGGTTTTAATGAAGGCTTTTGGTCCGGGGTAGGATACTATATGGGATACAAGTGGTTACACCCTTCCTTAAGCACTTTACTTCTTATTTCTTGGCTTACATTTGTCAAACCCTTGGAGATATTTCTTCTTTTTGGAGGCTAGAGAGACTTGCCATCACTCTTTGTTGACAATTTCATTCTTTTTCTCCCTTGATTTTTATGCTAGAGATACTTGGCTCACTCTATTTCATCAATCAACCTTTTTGGGCTTCTTTTTCTTTACATTACTTTCTTTTCTTTCTTTCTCTTGCATGGCGATCATTTATTTTCTCTCTTTTTAATGTCTCGGTACCTTTTTTAGATTTCTCAACCCCCCTCCCCCCCCGAACTTAGGCTTCGAGCTACATACTACAAATGAGTGCTTATGAGGGTTCAGGTGCCAAGTGAAGATCATGTTCAAAAAATGAAGGGCTTGTAGTAAGGTTATCAAAAGAGAAAGGCTAAAGGCTCAAAGGGGGTTGACTAGGGATAATGATCATAGGGTGGCAATTGAATTCTCAAACAGTCCAAGAAAAGCCTACAATTATTTTTCAAACCAAACGAACTCAAATTTTGCCTTGAAGCACATTCGGGGCAAGTTGTATACTATTCACTCAAGCACTTAGACTAACAATAAAATTTCTCCTCGCCTCTCATGTAAATAGACTGTAAAAGAAGATAGAGTCTAAAACCCACAACAGCCACAGTCGAGTTATAGATCTCTATGGTCTACTCAACCACCTAATGATTATCAAAGACAACTCAAGAGCCTCAAAGTCACTTTACTAGAGTCACTTTCTCAAATAATGATTCACAACAACCTTGTATCAAACCACAAGCATGCAGTTAAGTATGTTGGTACCACGTGAAGCATAAATAATGTTGTTTAACCAAAGAATTAGATTCTCAGTCAAAGCATATTTTTAGAAGTACCCGGGTTACTAATAATTAAGAAATTCAATATTCTCTCAGAAATAAGAAAGGAAATTAGAATAAAAAATGATAAAGTAATCAATAGAAAGCACAAGAAAATAATTATATTCTAATAATAATCAGAATGTGTCTGTACAAATAACATTTCTTTCCCTTATATAGAGTCTTCAAGTACAATGTCCTTTCCCTTTTAAGACCGAGTCATTATGAGCATTAATGACATTAATGAAACGTTATAATTGGTAATCATAACTGTTCGTGAAGATTTTGTAATGTTTGTAATCATCCACTCTCATTAATTGAAGATCCATGAATCTGCCCTTTTTACTGTCTTGGTTTATTCCGTCGGTGCCTCTTCATATAACTTATAGAGACTCGAGCAACCATTTCTTTTTACCTCGTGGGTGATTTGTTCGTATCTGCTGCAACTCGTGTCTCTTTTAGTGCTCCTCTCCAGCTATTGCTTTTCTAGTGATCCACGTGCCTTGCCATATAAACCACATAATTAACTCCACGTATAACATTTATTTTTACCAATACAGATAGTCCCCCACTTACTAATTATTCAGCAATTGAATATTTGGGAAATGTATCACATTTATGGCGGGAATTTTTTGTCGATATTTCTCACGTACCATTGCATCTTTCTCTGAACCAATGCGCCGTATGTCACTTCCATTTAATGCATGTGACACGTGGCAATCATCAATTGGTTCTGCAATTTTTCAGCGGGTTTTATGGCTTTTTTACGGCTGCATCAGTCACGAAGTGACTGTTTTCATAATGACGTTTCCATCATTACCCTCTTTACATGACGATTGCTTCTGCATATAAATACATCCTTTGCCTTTGCTTTTACGAAAAACTTTCTTCAGTGTTCTTTATTCACAACTTACTCTAGTTCTTCATTACGTACTACTTCCCCATACAACTATGTCTTCTTCAAATCCTGATCCTCGAAAATTCGTCATAGTAGATGAACTTCTCCCTTCTTCCGCTCCGATCAGGAGTAGGAGAGGTGGTAGGTTACATAGTTTAGGGTCAGTGTCTGTACGTGGTTCTCCTTCTCAACCCAGTACTACCCCTCCATCATTTTTTAGAAATAGGGCTTCTTCTTCACATAGATCTTCCGCTAGAAGTAGGGATTCAGTGAACTGCTTTGTGAACCTACTGTCGACGAGATTATTCCCGATGAACTTTCCTTTGTCACTGATAGAGAATTAATTAAAAATCAGGTCACTTCCATGACTTCTCACGATCGTGCTGATGTTTACCCTTCCCAGATTACTGAGGGTTTAGTTTCTATTGTGCGGAAAGATTGTTATTGGAAATTTGACTTCCCAATTCTGGTCCCCCATGAAAATCAAAGGATCACTTCCTTTAAAGCTGGTTTTTCTTTTGTGTATACATATCCCTTCACATTAGGTTTTAGGCCACCTATTGATCCAGTTATCATTGAGTTTTATCATTTCTTCGATGTGTGTTTAGGACAGATTGGTCCTATTATATGGAGGGTTGTGGCATGCCTTAGATACTTGTCAAATTTGGCTTCTTTACCCTTCACCTTTTACCATCTGATTCATCTTTACTCTCCCAAATTATTTCGTCGTGGGATTTTTACTCTCGTGGCGAGGAGTAAGAGGGTTTTGGTTAGCCCTGAAGACGACAAAGATCGTGGCTGGTATGCCCGATTTGTTGCTGCTCCTACAAGTGTGTTAGTAGGTGAAGAGAACATGCCCTTCCCTGAGAAGTGGAACTTTGCACGTAAGTCTTTCTTTCAATCTTTTATTTCTCTTTTTTTTTTGTGAAGAACTTGTAATCTCGTAAATGTTTTACTTTTCTTTTTCAGCAACCATGGGAACTGTTGAAGAGATTCCTAATCTCCGTGGTTGTGTAGAGAAAGTGTTATCCATTGCTCCTATGGAAGAAAGGTCCTGGAAATACCTTTCAAACATATTTGGATGGAAAGTTAAGACTCACGGTAACTTTCTCTTTCACGTTCTTCCTTACTTCCATGTTTATTTTGGAACTTATTAACCCCTTGCTTTGTTAGGGTTTCCCATTCGAGGTGTGAGTGTTGCTTCAATCACTGCTTCGAGGCTCTCTCTATCAAAGGCTCAAGAGATAATCTTGAGTTCTTAGACAAAAAGAAAAGCCGATAGACCACATAACTCTGAGGATGAAGAAGAACGGGACGAAGGCTCGTTGGTTCGTAAGCCACGGGCTAGGAGACAGGTCATTTCAGATGACGAAGCTACTCCCCATCCTAGTTCTGTTCCCATGTCCGAGCTTGAAAATGCTACCTTAGTGAATTCTGATGAAGAGACATTTGCTGCACCCCGTGACTCTACTGAACAACTCTTTTCTCGTGGGTTTGATGAAGAAAGCTTTGGCTTTATATCTAAGGAAACGCCTTTTGCCACTTTACATGGCTCTGCTCCGATTGAACCTCGGTTACCCGTTCATGCTGTTGCTACCACTGTTCCACCCGTGGCTATTTTGACTTCCTCGACTGCCCCTATTGCTACAACTTCCCATGTTGAAGTTGGTTCCTCCAGTAACAGTAAGGAAATGAAACAAGTTACCATCGAGATTCCTGAAGATGGTAATCTTTTGAAGAAATCTGGCCAAGTTGATGTATGGTTGAAACCACTGATTGGCCCAGTTGAGAAGTCAAAACTGGAAAGTCACAGCTTTCTAACGTGGATGAATGATATTGTGCATTCGTCTCTAAAGGTATAAACCTTGTCTTTTTATTTTACGTGATTTCTCTTTTACTGGTATCACATTCCTCTTTTCATTATGTAGATCAATCTCATCGAAACGGAGATGATGAAAAGGATCATCCACA